ATCAATCCTCTTTGTTCTCGCTCCTACTCTGAAACCCTTCGCGTGCTAGTGGCTTCCCGCCTTGCCTAGGGTTGAATGCTTAAAAATGCTTGAGTCAGAAGTAATTTCCGTTTCTTGGAATCAATTGTAATGAAGAAAGTATCATCCGAATTACTAATCATACATAGCAGTTAAATGGGGTACACATAGATAGATAGATAGATAGATAGATAGATAGATTTAAATGTAACGTCAATCGACGTCTCCAGATGCCTGATCTATCCCCTAACCGTCTCTTGTTCCTTTCCTCTATCACTCATCTTTGTTTTCGCTCCTATTCTGAAACCCTTTCCGTGCGAGTGGCTTCCCGCCTTGCTTGAGGTTGAAGGCTTAAAAAAAGACTATCCTAAAAGCCGTCCACTGGGCTGACTTTATGCTAGCTCCTGCCGAGGGATTTTACGCCTCCGTCCTTTTACCTTCAGCGTCCTATCTACATAAAAAGTATAAGAAATAATAAAATTATTTTATCTTCATTCGACACCTTATTTAGGCATAATCTTTCTTATTAATTAGCATTGATAAAACGGTGCAAGGGTTTTATGGACATATGACATGTGATAGAATCTCCATTTCTTGGAGATTACCATTTTGGGAATTTGCATTATGTTATTCTTAGTTTATATATATATATATATATATATATATATATATATATATATATATATATATATATATATCGATAGAATCTAGATGGCCTTGTTCTATGTGTCTGTAATTGCAGTTTCTCTTTAAGTGATTCCCTGATTTCATTTGCTATGTTAATTTTATAATTAGTTTGTGTTCCCAATTTTCAGCGTGAAAACATTTGAATATCTGTAAATCCCGTCTAGTATCGATAATTCACATCTGATTTCCTCAATTTCCCGTTTCCAACCAGGCTCTCTTCGTCTATTTTTTAATCTTTTCTTTGTCTTGATATTAAGTTTTTGTTGTGGCCTGTTAGGGGTCAGAAAGAAAGACACGGGAAGAAGAAGGTAGTTTGAACAAGTGTATTGAAATAACAGAATATATATACAAAATAAGAGAGTTATTAGTCAGCAGATAGAAATGTCCGTCCGAACTGTCAGGTTACACTGCGTCCCGACTGCTTCGCTTAGGAAGTCTTGCAGGTTAGTATTTATGAAGGAGGAAAAGTTCATTCTAATGTAGATAGGTCATCATAACAATAATACACTTGCAAGTCTTTTAGTCTACCAACTGGTGTTTCTATTACATTTATATCTCAGTCAGCCTATGAAATTTCTAGGTGACCCTTATATTACTAAATATACTTGTCTTTATTGCAAATGGCGGATATACGAGGGTTGGCTGAAAAGTTCATAATTGTTGTGGCCTGTTAGGGGCCAGAAAGAAGAAGGTAGGTTAAACAAGTGTATTGAAATAACAGAACATAATTTACGAAATAAGAGTGTTGTTAGTCAGCAGATAAAAATGTCCGTCCGAACAGTCCGGTTACACTGTAATGTAGATAGGTCACCATAACAGTTTTTTTAAGAGCAGCTAATTTTTTTGCATACATGATGTTATTTACTTCTGTGATATTTTCCAATCGTCTGTCGGTTAAAATTTCTTGCAGGCCATCTTTATAAATGTGTCCCACATGTTTATTGGACTTCGTCATATAGATTTTTGGAAGCTGGTCACTTTCAGAGCGAATGACTTTGCGGATTATTTGAATGATGTCGTTTTATCGCTTCAGTGATTTCAACTCTGTTGTTTTCATGGTCTGCTGCAATTACGCACGATTCATCTTCATCCCTGACAGAATCTGAATCAGCGAAATTGTTTATGTCGCAGCTAGATTGTGCTATTTCCGGAGGGAACACTATTTCGTATCTCATTTATTTTAGTTTATTATAGAAATAAAAATAAAAGGCAAGACAAGCTTTACCGTTCATGATTTAAAAAAAAAAGAAATACATGTAATGCTTTAAAGGCGGAACAATCAGATTGAAATAACGTAAAGCCCTAACAGACGTTCCCTCTGTTTACAGAGGGAAGGCTGACTGGACTTGACATAGATCGTTTCTAATGCCTTCAAATGTAAGAAAGAATGATTACGATTAAGGATGGTAAAAGAGTCGACGCTAAAATTAGTGGCACAATTCTGAATATTTATAAGATGCTCAGCGAAGAAAGAAACCAAATGTGTTGCTGTCCACGTCACCAAAACACAAAAAATAATATGTATTTTATATTTTATATTGTAACATCTTGAGTCGTGCTTGCTCACTTTTACATTTGAAGGTATTAGAAACAATTTATGAACCAGGAAGAATGTCAAAGACAACTAAAAATATCGTTGTGACTATGAGACACGGCTGTTCCTCGCCAGACGTAAACTTGGTATTTTTAGACGTTATTATTATTATTAGTATTATTATTATTATTATTTGCACGTAATATGAGAATCGCGAAACAGTCATAGAGATAAAAACAGATATATACAGAATATTAAAACATTGAGATAGATAGATAGATAGATAGATAGATAGATAGATAGATAGATAGTGTTATGTCCGGTAAGACTTGTTATAGTCCAGTTCCTTGTACCACGGTGATAGTCCAAGGTAGAACCAATATAGAAGAACTCAAACACGGATATGGAATAGCACAGATATATTACAAACAGGATTATATACAGAGAAGTAGAAAGTGTTAGTACGAACAATCAGGTTTAGTAGAGAGAACAATGTAGTCTCGACCAGTATCACTATTCCAACGTCTTGCAGTAATTGTCTGAACGCGACTCTGTTTCGGACTGCCTCTGACTCGACTCTTGACTCCACTTGAACTACTGACTGACGATATTCAGTCACCCCCCCCCCACGAGGGTGTCATGTGGCACAAGGCCTTTTTAATGTGGGCATTCCCGAGCCATTAGGCTCGGCCAAAAGAAAGCCCATTTGAACCCGTATAAACGGGTTCAGGGCCGGTTTTACCTCCCCGAAGGAGACTCCGCCCTTCGGCGTAGCCTCCTTCGGGTTCCTCTCGCCCGTAGGAAGAGAGTTGAACCGAACACTCGGTTCAGAGGTGAACGACTGACTCCTTGTCTACTTCTGAGGCGCAGTATCTATTGCGATATGAACAGACTAAAGTAGATAGATAGATAGATAGATAGATAGATAGATAGATAGATATTACTGAGATGCCACCGACACACACGCTGATATATATATATATATATATATATATATATATATATATATATATATATATATATCCCTGTCACACTCTTTATTCTATCTTAAAGTACTAGAGTGACTGTACTTCCAGTTTCACAAACCGTCTCTACAAACAGCGTGATTGTTTGCTTGGACTTGCTATCATTAGTCGCTAGTACTTTCTCTTCCCCACTTTTTCCCTCCTTTTTCTTCCCTTTTCTGTCCTCTCATAAATCATTCGCTAATTAGATTTATTGTATTTTACTGTTTTTTTCTCTCCCGGTTAATAACTTTGAAGATCGGGAGTGAAACCGGTTTGTTTTACACTTTCATTTTTTTTTCTTTTTTTTTTTTTTGCCAGCAGTTTTTTACTCATGCCAAATAACATTCAACTTTAGCGTTTTTAGAGCAATAGATAGATAGATCAATAGATCTGTACGCATGAAGATAGATAGATAGATAGATAGATAGATAGATAGATAGATAGATAGATAGAAAGAAACCTATTGTGATAGATAGACCTGAAGCGACTGAGATAGATAGATAGATAGATAGATAGATAGATAGATAGATAGATAGATAGATAGATAGAAAAAAAGAATAGATAAAGTGATAAGATGTATGTATGTATACATCATGGATAGATAGATAGATAGATAGATAGATAGATACGAACAGACTGGGATAGATAGATAGATAGATAGATAGATAGATAGATAGATAGATAGATAGATACGAACAGACTGGGATGAATAGATAGATAGATAGATAGATGGGATAGATAGATAGATAGATAGATAGATAGATAAATAACAGACTGGGATAGATGGGATAGATAGATAGATAGATAGATAGATAGATAGATAGATAGATAGATAGATAATGTAATAATACACTATGTATGTACGCAAATAGCTAGCTAGGTAGATAGATAGATAGATATATGCAAATGAAAACATTTCGATTGTTATCTTGGTAGATATATATATATATATATATTCTAGTCTCTGTTGCTTCGCCGAAAATCCAATTGAGAAAATGTTCCAATATTATTCAGCTTTTCGCCACCACCTACTATGGTGTGTTCTTTATTTCCCTCCGTCTTTCATGTTTACAGACGAATTTGTAAATGGAAAATCGTTGAACAATTAAGCGTGTTTCTTTTGCTACGTGGACGCGTTTTCATCAAGTCCGCAGCTTCGACGTTTGCTTCAAAGCCAGAAAGAAAAGCAAACAAAACGGAATCACAACAAAGAGAATCGGTCTTTTTCTAACAGGTCGCTCTCCTCCAGTTCGCCACCCATCTGCAACACACACACACAAAAAATGTCCCCAATTTGCCACACAATAGTCAAAGTAATCACTAATCAAGACGAGATGACGTTAAACGGAGGCTTGCGAAGGCAAGAGGAAAGAATGAAGCCACAGTGAAACTTCATCAGACTTTGTTTTGGGCGGGAATTATTTTCAGTGACAAATTCTCGTGGGTGGAATTTTGTCACTATTGACAAAGGGTGTAACAGCATCCTTCTGCTACTGACTGCGTTGATATTTTATCTAAAACAACGTACTAGATAGACAAATAGATAATATAATAGATATAAAAATAGAAGGAAAGAAAAATATAAATGGGCTGATATATATATATATATATATATATATATATATATATATATATTTGGTTGGATATATATATATATTTGGCGAGTTTGTATGTTAGCTCTATCTCTGATATTGAGCGCTTTCTAATAAATTACCGCATATAATATATAAATAATTATACATATATATATTTATTTATATTTATATACAATTTTCACACACACACACATATATATATATATATATATATATATATATATATATATATATATATGTAAAGACAAATTTTTATGTTTATACGTTCTTTTTATAGATAGATATTTAAGTAAATGCTCTGTTTATAATAAACAGTATTAGTAACATTTAACGACCTGAATGTCCGAGAAATTTTCATAGAAAATATGCGTCCGCCGACAGGAATCGAAACTGTATCCAAAATTTCTCGGACATTCAGGACGGTAAATGTTGTTTAATACTGTTTATTATAAACACAGCATATACTTAAATATTTACATCTATAAAAAGAATGTATAAACATAGAAATGTCTTAATTTAGCTCTTGAAAAAATATATTTCAATTGAGCATTGTTGAGTGACAATACTAATTCTATAAACAACATCCACCTGCTATGACACAACGAAACAGTATTGATTTCGAATGAATTATATATATATATATATATATATATATATATATATATAATTTGAACCTGAATTATAAAAACAACAGTAGAACACATAGAATTCCTTTAACAAGGATATATATATATATATATAAATGAACATTAAAGTCAACACTCAGAGGTGACAGGATGTTTCATGCTAGATGCAATCGTCAGGGAACCTGACGATTATGGCGTCTATTGAAACAGCCTGTCGTTTCAATTTTGAGTCCAATATTCATTATTATATTATATTGACATGGCTCTGTCTCTGATATTGAGCACTTTATCCATAAATATAGCACAACATGAAACTATATATATATATTCAATTTACACACACACACACACACACACACACTATACACACACACACACACATATATATATATATATATATATATATATATATATATATATATATATATTAGAATGGGTATTAACACTCTTGGTCTTTGTGAGTTTTTAATGCTCTCGGCATATTCGAACCGCAAACAATATTGCCTGCGTCATGTGAGTCCGGGAAAAATTAAGAATTAAACATGGAATTTAAACAAATACATATTAACAAATATACTGACAAGACATATTACAATAAGGAGAAGTGATAAATTAAATTAAATGTGAAGAATTCAAAGCATCCTTCAGTGTCTGTAGCTGATGTATTTACATGTCGACGGGACCGAAAAGCATACGTTTTTACGCTATGAAAGTCACTAGGAAAGAGAGAGATTCTTTCAAATATTGCGCCTCCTGTAATTATTGTCAGTGGGGCTGTTATTCAAAATCTTGCTGCCTGTGTATATTGTCAGGGGGCTGTAATCTAACAATATATAGAGAGAGAACGGTATGGAGAAAGAAAGACAGACCGGGAAAGAGAGACAAACATAAATAAAATTAAATGTTTACTTATGTTGTTACGACACAGGATTTTGGACAGATTACATCGTCAGGGGATTTTATTCAAAATTGAATTTTATTTAATGCTATTAATACTCTATCTCTTCTTATCTTCTCTAAATCCAATGTCTACTTGCCTTAAAAACATTATGTTCCACTCAAATTCTTTTTTTTTTTAAATTTTTTGCGAGACACACGTTGTTATTTATTTGTGCCGGATTCCATCCCCGGAATCCACAACAATACACTTCGAATTGCGTCTCTAGAACGAATGAGAATGGCGAATTCTGGAAGGAAGATATGTGCGTCTGTGTCGAATAAAAGCAGCTGACTGGCATTTTGATGTCGGTTAGTCATCAGAATATTGAGAGCCCTGTATAAAACATAGTTTATTTTAGGCTGGGTTTTGTCTTTTTTTGTTTTGGTTTTGGATTTTCGGGGATTGGGGGGGTACGCCAATTTAGCTAGGTGAAAGAGGATCTATGTTCATTGACCCCTTTAATTTTGTCCCCACTTTGTTTAGTTTAATTCCTCATCCCCCCCCCCGTTAGTTGACCAGAATATCAGTTCTCTGGTGGGACACTCTCCGTTTTTCGAGTGCGTTCTTTCGTAATCGTCTGAATAAGTGTGCAATTGTGTGTGTGGTTAATTCATCCGTGTCCCGATATCAATTTCATCCAGTAAGCTAATATTTCTGCCACAATTAAGGATTGGGATGGGGTATTACTAACAACATTTTGTTTAGTTTCTTGTATACATAGTACTGTGCATATTGTCAATATGCATTTTTTATTTAGCTTTTCACCCCAAGCAAGGAGGGAGTGTCACTAGCACGTGAGGGGTTACAGAAAGTTGGAGCAAGAGTAAAGAAGTGTGAGAGAGTAATGGATGAAGAGAAGGAGAGGGAATAGATCAAGGTCAGTTGACATTGCATTTAAATATTTGGAGATTATAGCTATCAGGGAAGCAAGTAAGACGAAGGGAGTTCCAAAGGCGGGAAGTGCGAGACATGAAGCTATTGGAGTAGAAGAGACGGCAACATTTAACCGTTTCGACAGTGAAAGGGTGGGACCGAAATGCCAACCTAGTAGCACGTTTAAATTCATGCAGTTTGGGAACTACCAAACATAGTTCGTCGGAGCAGATACCGTGAAAGTATTTTTCATTTTTAAACGTTGTTGTTCTCTTCTCCACACCCACAGACAAATTGTACATATAGGGATTACTTGGGACTTTCTTTGAGACTTTGTGGTATTACGGTATTTGTAGTAAGAATGGTAATTAAGAATGTGGTATTTTGGCGCAAGGCATATTAGTTTGGGACAATGATTAGAACAAGCTAAGTTTAAGATAAGACAAATGATAACCAGCATTTCCTCATCCACACTTTTGGATTTGAGCCACATTTTTTGTATTTTTATGAGCAGCCTAAGCAAGACATAATATTATAACTGCTAGGAACCTGTTATAACAATATTATATATCGCAAGTCCCAAATGTTCGAAGATATATGACCTTCGACAAAACCTATAGGCTTCACTTTTTAAACATCGATCTTGTTTGTTGTATGCAGCTAACAGTTGCGATATTTCTGAACGTGTTTGCTTCCTTTTATGATATCCATATGAAAATTTCGATCTGAGAAGGCTATTTAAAAACATGACTTCAGTTTACAGGTTAGTGATTTGCTGTTGTAACAATTTGCGGTGCTGGGCGAAACAGCCTCTGTCGAAGCCTGTTCTATGTTCAGTTTTCTGTACTCCTATGCAAAATTTGTTTCAAGTCGTGTATTTGAAGTGTTTAATATTTACTAATTTCACATTCTGGTGCCAGTTCATTGTGAGGGGCATGAAAATCCAGCTTTCAAGACCCGTCTTCAAGTCCCGCTTTCAAGACCGGCTTGATGACCTGGCTTCAAGGCCAGGCTTCATGACCCACCTTTAAGACCTGCTTTCGAGACCTGGCTTCAAAACCAGGATTCAAGGCCCGCTTTCAAGACCCAGCTTCAAAACCGGGATTGAAGACAGGCTTCAAGACCCACCTTTAAGACCTGCTTTCGAGACATGACTTCAAAACCAGGATTCAAGGCCCGCTTTGATGACCAAGCTTCAAAACTCGGATTGAAGACAGGCTTCAAGACCCATCTTTAAGACCTGCTTTCGGGACTCGGCTTCAAAACCAGGCTTCAAGACCCGCTTTCAAGACCCAGCTTCAAAACCCGGATTGAAGACAGGCTTCAAGACCCATCTTTAAGACCTGCTTTCGGGACTCGGCTTCAAAACCAGGCTTGAAGACCCTGCTTCAAAACCCGCTTTCCAGACCCAGCTTCAAAACCCCGCTTGAAGACAGACTACAAGACCCAGCTTTAAGACCTGCTTTCGAGACCCGGCTTCAAAACCAGGCTTCAATATCAGGCTTCAAGACCCTGCTTCAAGACAAGACCCGCTCTCAAGACCCAGCTTCAAAACCCGGATTGAAGACAGGATTCAAGACTGGGCTTCAAGACCTGCTTGTCGTGACCCGGCTTTAAAACCAGGCTTCAAAACGAGGCTTCCAGACCAGGCTTCAAAACCAGGCTTCAAGACCAGGCTTCAAGACCAGGCTTCAAAAGCAGGCTTCAAAACCAGGCTTCAAGACCAGGCTTCAAAACCAGGCTTCAAGACCAGGCTTCAAAACCAAGCTTCAAGATCCGGTTTCAAGACCAGGCTAATCTAAATTCGTTGAAGTATGTATTTTCACCATTGATATGAGATGGAATTCTGGCAACATCTAAAATTTCGAATGCTAATACTGGCGCAGCAAAATCTTTTTCCATCCCATTTCACCTTATAAAATGCCTATTCACGTGGTATTGGCAAAGGACAAGAATTAATTATGCCCTAATGAAAGAAATAATTTAAATATTAATAAAATTTGTATATCATTCTATCTGTAAATATGGAAGTGCATCTTGTAATAGAGTAATTCTTAAAAGCAAAAAACAAAACGAAAAACATGTCTTATTCATTATTTTAATAGATATCACCACATGCAAGGCTATAAAGCCACTAAGACACAGAGGGTGTGGAAGAATTAGGAATAGAAACATTAATAATGAGCGCGAAGAGAAAAGAGTAATCAGGAGAACAGTAGATAGCAATTGACATTGCATTTAAATTTTTGCAGATTAAAGTTGGCTGAAAGCATGGAGCCGGAAAGGGGTTCCACAGGCGAGAAGTGCGGGAAAGGTAATTTTTAGCATAGAATTGTCTGTTACCAGCTCAACTGTATATTGA